TTCGAAGTATATAAAGAGTAACCCCTGAGGCGAGCGCGAAACGCGTGTTTCTGGAAACAAAGCGCAAATTTTTATGGAGAGAGAGACGTGTGGATACAAGGCAGGCTGTATATGGTTTGTTTCCACTACAAAACGGGAAACCATGCACTACATAGAGGATATTACACGGTGGCGCGAAGATATGAACTTTATTTTCGAGTGGCGCGCGAGTGAGTAAAATATTGTTTTTGCCACGAGAAAATAAAATTCTTATCTTCAAGCCGCCGTGTAATGTTCTTTTTATTATATAGACAAAATAACATCGATAAAATAATAGAGGGAAATTACCAAAATTACGTCATCGATAAACTCAAGTGTGAGATTATGGAAAATAAACCACTCGGGTCCCGGATGTAGTTTTTATGAATTTTACGAGTGGTATATTTTCCAGTAAAACACTCGTGTCTATATAATAAATGATAGAAACACGCCGTAGTTACCCGAGCCTAACTACTAGACCGCCAGCCCCGACTCCTCTCAAGCCTAACAGAGGGGCGGTCTATTTGACCCATTAGGGGTTGGGTGGGGAGTTATATAACCCAAAGCCAAATTTTTCATGAGACGAACCAAACTCTTATTTGGATCGTCCTAAATTAAGTTAAGATCGTCTGTTGCCCTGACGTCGAACTGAGGACGCGTCGAACCAAAAACTAAGAGAATCAGTCAACAATACGGCAATCTACCGAACGAGCCCAAATATGCATTATCATACAAATTTTTAACTTTTTAGTTTTAGTTCGTCACATGTGAAGATCAACGTTTGCCCTGAACTGACGATCTTCAGACGTTCTATCCGTCTGAAGCAGATGGATGGAACGTGTTGGACGATCCAAACTCATTTTAATAGACAAACCTAACGAGTCAGATGTCAAACTTGTCATCAAGTTAACTCACTAAGTTTTCAAATTAGGAGGCTCTGAAACGCTATTTTCAGCACTTGTCATGAGATATGTCTCCGAAAAATCGACCTCGAATATGAAAATGGCAAACAATTGCAAGTCACTATAATCAAAATAACTGAGTCTAAAGAAAACAAATCAATAAACGGACTTGATTTGTCTGGCTCAACAGGTCGGGTTGCGCCCCCCGCTAGCTAAGGCTCTTGCCGGCGTCGCTCGGTTATCCTGGTGAGCGACCAATAAACGCCTTCTGTCAGCAGCGGGGTAATGCGAATCATATATTCCAATTACTAACGCAAAACTGTGGTAAACTAAACTAAACGCTGGTAAAGTTACAATATTTAGAAAACATAAGTTTCATGTTGTTTTGTTGGGCTTCAGATCGGTTGCTATAAATGACCTCAATGTGGAGGTATCCTACGCGATCATTCATCGTTCCAAATTTTTTTACTGCGGTTTCTGAGAATCACATTGTAGAAAATCTCCAAGTGGAGCTGTAATTGGAAACACTTTTATTGCCTTAGGAAGAGTATTTCGTGTTTTTATTGCGATCCATCTTAATTCCAAAGTATGCCGGAAGTAAGTTCCCGTAGAGGTCATTTAGCTTCCCAACTCGCTAAACCACGGTCCACGTGGAATTTCAGCTCACGCTATTTGTTCTAGCATTAATCAATTTAGTCATCTCAGTCAATTAAATTCCTGCTTTCATGCCTCGTATGTTAAGTGTGAAATAATCCCCTCTTTTAACGATTCACAATCAAACGACGCCTAAAGCAATCAACTGATGCTTCCTTGAAAGTAATAGAAACACGTGCCGCTTGAGATATTGCGTGGGATGATAAAATCATTATCTACTCATCCATCCGTGTACTCTTAGAACACGGTTACAGCATCATGCAAAAATGTATGTACTTTCGCCGCAAATAACTTATTCAAGTGTGATTTTTTAAAGGCATCCATTGCCTCCAGTATCAAATCAGATTCCTAAAATTTTAATAGAAGTGTTTGGCAAAGGACACTGACCGATGTTTTGATTTTCTGCGGTTTATGTCATCTTCATTCTATGTATAGATCTTTTTCAAAGTTTCTTATGCTGATTCGGAAGGTCAGAAATGGATAAGTTGACTAAGCTGACACGTTAGGAAGTGGAGCAAGGGAGCTAGGAGGGGGTTCGAGACCCCCCCTCTCCCCCTGTTCGGTGCACGAGGTCCAAGCGCGATTCCAGAGAACATTGTTTCAACTTCTCTCCTTTCTGTGTAGCTTTAACTAGCTTTAAATACCCTTAAAACGGAGCATTGATGGAGAAAGGGGCGTAAAATGAGCACAACGTCGTCCTCAAGTTTATCATTTGAATTAATCACGAGTTATCGACGATAACACGACACGATTATTTTACCTATTAACTTTTAAAGCGCTCCCTGAAAACCATGGATATCTGATTTACTTTTTACTCTTTAGCGAACGAGTTTGATGCCTTTCTCTTGTTGTTTTAAGCCATTTTAAGCTTTTTCAACGGTGTGTGTCATTTTAATTCTAGCGCATTTTACACGAAACGTGGAAAAACGCTCGCCATACGTCCCCTCTTAACTGGAACACCAAGGTTTTGATTTCATTACTATGGAATTGTTTGAATCAATGACTCAGTGTGCTGAATTGTTTTAAAACACTCTTCTTGAGCAATATAGCGAACTTGGTACTGGAGGACATCGATGCGANCAGACGTTCTATCCGTCTGAAGCAGATGGATGGAACGTGTTGGACGATCCAAACTCATTTTAATAGACAAACCTAACGAGTCAGATGTCAAACTTGTCATCAAGTTAACTCACTAAGTTTTCAAATTAGGAGGCTCTGAAACGCTATTTTCAGCACTTGTCATGAGATATGTCTCCGAAAAATCGACCTCGAATATGAAAATGGCAAACAATTGCAAGTCACTATAATCAAAATAACTGAGTCTAAAGAAAACAAATCAATAAACGGACTTGATTTGTCTGGCTCAACAGGTCGGGTTGCGCCCCCCGCTAGCTAAGGCTCTTGCCGGCGTCGCTCGGTTATCCTGGTGAGCGACCAATAAACGCCTTCTGTCAGCAGCGGGGTAATGCGAATCATATATTCCAATTACTAACGCAAAACTGTGGTAAACTAAACTAAACGCTGGTAAAGTTACAATATTTAGAAAACATAAGTTTCATGTTGTTTTGTTGGGCTTCAGATCGGTTGCTATAAATGACCTCAATGTGGAGGTATCCTACGCGATCATTCATCGTTCCAAATTTTTTTACTGCGGTTTCTGAGAATCACATTGTAGAAAATCTCCAAGTGGAGCTGTAATTGGAAACACTTTTATTGCCTTAGGAAGAGTATTTCGTGTTTTTATTGCGATCCATCTTAATTCCAAAGTATGCCGGAAGTAAGTTCCCGTAGAGGTCATTTAGCTTCCCAACTCGCTAAACCACGGTCCACGTGGAATTTCAGCTCACGCTATTTGTTCCAGCATTAATCAATTTAGTCATCTCAGTCAATTAAATTCCTGCTTTCATGCCTCGTATGTTAAGTGTGAAATAATCCCCTCTTTTAACGATTCACAATCAAACGACGCCTAAAGCAATCAACTGATGCTTCCTTGAAAGTAATAGAAACACGTGCCGCTTGAGATATTGCGTGGGATGATAAAATCATTATCTACTCATCCATCCGTGTACTCTTAGAACACGGTTACAGCATCATGCAAAAATGTATGTACTTTCGCCGCAAATAACTTATTCAAGTGTGATTTTTTAAAGGCATCCATTGCCTCCAGTATCAAATCAGATTCCTAAAATTTTAATAGAAGTGTTTGGCAAAGGACACTGACCGATGTTTTGATTTTCTGCGGTTTATGTCATCTTCATTCTATGTATAGATCTTTTTCAAAGTTTCTTATGCTGATTCGGAAGGTCAGAAATGGATAAGTTGACTAAGCTGACACGTTAGGAAGTGGAGCAAGGGAGCTAGGAGGGGGTTCGAGACCCCCCCTCTCCCCCTGTTCG